TCTTTTTCGTGGAAGGCTGATAGCTTTCTGAAGGTTGGATGCCAAAAGATCCCAGAGATGCTCTCGGACAATGTGGAAACACGAATCCTTGGAATGGACCATTGCAATCGTGGCAGATAGGAGGCGCAGGCGCTGGTGTCATAGCTGCTTCAGTAACTCAAGCACTTCCTTGGCCTCCTGCAGCGATCAGCAATGCCGGTTCTGTCGACCTGTTACCGAAATATACCCCGACCGGAGCTATACCAACTCTCACAGGTCCGACTTTCACCTCGACGCCTACTGCAAACCCTGGAACTGGTTGGCAAAACCCTGCTGATAATGCTGGAATGATGGTCGAAATCCCTGGATGCACGTATCTGGATGCGTGGACAGGCAATGCTGGTCCGCCATCGCCATTGTGCACATAATGCCCTTTACGAAGTATGTATGCTCTTTTTATTGGGACTTGTAGATGTTTTTTGCTGCCGTCATGGACTTATTCCACTCATTATCCCGCATTCATGGACCTCTTTGGATATTATCTCGATCTCATAATGATATATAGCACTAGTCTAATAGGTGTTCGTTATTCAATGTGAATCTCGAGATACTTAATGTACATGGACTTCCTTGACCTCAATCTTGAGACTTCAAGCTTCAAGTTTCATCTTTGTCAAGCGTGAAGGTTCTCTGTGAAAGCAATGAAAAGCAGGTCGACATTAAGCTGGAGCGTAACTTACCTCCTATGACGATTGATGCCTTCGTTGCAACTCCACCTTTTCTTCTGCCAATTCCCAAATATCAGGTTCACGGCTCGTTTTCCAACCCCAGTCATTGAGAATTCGTGAGTCCCCAAATGGATCCTGCTGAAGGACGTAATCAGGGACTCCGACCAAGATCCTCTTCAAACGGATGCCTAGGACAATTCGTGGATCGTGGACATTCAAGAGCCACGTGGATATCGATCTCAGGTCGGGAATCCAGAGGATGCAGACTACCATTTTGGAGCTGAGACGCAAGGCATGGGCGACAGAAGATTCACACGAAGCTAGGTGGGAGAGATGTGTCAATTGCGGCAGGTGCTGCAGGACAGTGTCATTGAGCTGGAGGCCATGCTGGTCAGAGATCCATATGGTGAGATGGGTGATTTTACAGAGCCAATGTGGACCTATGCTATTCAACTCCCTCAGATAGATAAGGAGGCGAATGGGCCGAAGGATGGATAATGCTGAAAGAAAAGCGCTCGTCTCGCGTGGTGGGCTGTCGAAAAAACTGGTGGAAGCAAAGGTGTGAACGTCGCGGCATGCAGACAGGATGGTTATCATGTCTTCGATACTACCTTCCGACTGTGATAAGAGGCAGACGTTTCGGATTCGGTCCTGATAGAAAGAAACTGGTCTGCTGCTGGATCTGATACAGTGCGCAAACAGTGTCATTTGTTTGTCGGAAATCAGAGTAATGGATCGATACAGAATGCATTCGATGCTGCCAAATCCTTGTCAGACTGGGCATAAAAGCCGAAAACGACTTACAAGGGTCTGAAACTGTGACACAATGTCACCAATTCTACAGCCCTTTGAGGTGCTATTTCCAACAAGGCTTCGAGAATGGCAAGCGTGATTTCTGCTGGAATCGGTGGAAAGGGCCCATTGGGCTGGTCTGGATCAACCATGAATTCGAAAGAGCAATGATGCAGTTGCTTAGTGACGGACGAGCGACGCGAATCGTCACGGCCTGTGACATGACGTGACACAGTTTCTCTTCTCTTTTCTGCCAGGTGCTCCAGGCTCCAACCTCGAACAGCGCAAGAGTTCCCTTGTCAGACGATGACGACGGCTATCTATTACAGCAAAATTGCGAAATTCGACGGCCTTGACCCAACTAGCTGCAGCTCCGCTGGAAATTCTTCGAGATTCGTCGTCATGTAGAGGTTAGCACTATAAAGCTCACTTTTCTCGTGTCCAGATATTCTGCTGTTTCGATTCACAAAAATGGCTTTACTAAAATGTTTCGCGCGAGGATTGACTGAAACGAAAAAGCCAAGGCAGTTCATCAAGAAAGTCTGGGTTCAAAGGTCACCTCTCTGCGACGTTGCGACTTACTTTAATGGCCAGGAAATATCGCAAATGTATCAGGACCCAACAGCGTCGCGACGCTCAAAGTTGAACAATACGACAAGTACGTTCGTTATCCTCTAGCTCGAAAATCATGTCCCAAGTGCCGTGCACAGAATCGCTCAAAAAGTAGTTGGGAAGAAGAGCTACAACATCACTGAAATAAGGTTTCGCTTCCAGAAGCTTGTGAATCAAGCAGGAACTGACTGAGTCCGGTAAGTAGCCAGTGCCGTCTCTCTCTCTCTGAGGCATGATCAAACTGACCAGCTTTTGTAGCTTGGAGCAAGAGCTTTGGTCGATTGGGTTGAAGCCGCAAAGGAGATGTTTGGAGACAGAACAGCTAGTGGACGAATCATCCACAAAGCGTCCTACATACATCGTCTTTTTCGTTGCATCCATCGAGCCCAGTGTATTCTTCCAGTGCAAATCAACGATTTCCGGAGCCTCCAAAGCATTCCAAGAATCAATCAAATCGTAAGATTCCTGGTTTGCGTGCCAGCCTCCAGGTGAGGGAGGGCCCGCGTCACTGGTCACTGGCACAAAAGTCGCTCTCTTTGACGATTTGGGAGTAGGTCCTCTTCCTCCGCATTACCATGTCCGGCCTGCTTTCGTTGTTCAAAATGCGGATTTCGAGATAATGTACATCATATTATGGAACACCATTTGATTTCTTCCTTCCTTAGATCAGTGTTCGCCGCTGGTGGTAGCATAGCGGTCCTCGAGGTCTTCTTGACCTCCAAAGCCACCTTCGAAATCTTTGTCCTTGTTGGTTGCTTTCGCTTCTTCGTCCTTCTTCAACTGGTCTCTGATTGCTTCCAGTTGAGCTTGCTCCTGTTGGAATAGCGTGAATCGGTGCTCAGGGTCGATGACCATGCTTTACCTTTGCGTGAGCATATTGAGCTTCTTCAGATTGTTCCTTGGCTTTCCAAGCCCCATCCTGAAAGATTTATCGTCACTCAGAGCCGTTGAATAGGCCTGCAGGCTCACTCACTTGTGCTGTGGTGCCCGATGATGACATTTTCCAAGAGGCGGGGTCAGGTGACAACCGATAACCGAGATCACGCGCAAAATTAGCCGGACGCGTTTTGTTGACTCGCTTTCTGCCACAACAATGTCTTCTTCAGCATCCAAGATTACCCGCACCTATTCGCGCCAAAAACGAGCTATAATCCCGCCTTCGTCTCCACCATCGACTCTATCGTCTTCTCCAGCAGCGTCTCCCAGTCGAAAACGACCCCTTGAGCGAGCTCAGTCTTCATTGGATAATATTCCGCCAGCTCCGAAACGACTCAAGACGAGCAGTTCTTTGACTAAAAAGCCCAAGCAAAAGACGCTTACTCAATTGCACTTTTGCATCGACCAGCCTATCGTCAGGACTTGTCCATTATGCAGCCTCACATATATCAGAGGAGCACCAGATGATGAATCACTGCATAAATCACATTGCTCGCGTGTTCAAAAAGGGTTAGAATGGGGCAAGGAAGAAGAGAAGGAAGCAAAGCGAGCCAGTTTGACCGTAATCGCGACCGGCGTTGAGCTTAAAGATGGCAGAAAAGGTAGAATCATCCGCGTAGAAGGCGATTCTGGTGGTAAAATTGGCACCAAGGTATGTCTATTGTCCGAATGTGCTTTACTATCTCTGATATCTTGTCCAAGTTGACCACCCTTCTCGAAACCATCAACTTGGCATTATCCTCTCCGCCTTTGACTCCCGCGATTCTAAAAGCGTCCAAATTCTATCTACTTCTACTCCCGTCGCCCAAGATGTCTAAAGAGACGATTGCTGGATGTGTCATTGCCCAATATATCACCACTGCGATGGCTATCGCCACAATTGACGATGATGGCCCTTCTTCGTCTCCTCCAACAGCGACCCTTGTCACTGTCGATGCCAGCACTGGATTGTTTTGCTATCCAAAAGCTCTTCCGACACCATTGGGAATTCCTCGTCTCTTTGTGCCGTCGACCCACCGTCGTCTCGGGATCGCCAGCCAGCTTCTTTCGGCTGCAGCACGAACTTTTATCCACGGGTGTCCATTGGATCCGAAGAAAGGCCAGGTGGCGTTTACCCAGCCCACCGGGGATGGAAATGCTTTGATGAATAGTTGGGGAAAGGGAGGCGTCAGGATCTATGAGGAGTGAAGGAAGCGGTTATATATATTCTTTATTCTTATTCCTATATTCCTCGATATCATCAAGTAAATCTGTACCATGAACACGAACCTTTTTAGCACCAGAACTTTTGCTAGATTGAGCAGAGCTGATCCGAGTCGAGGAGCCAGCAGAGCGCCAACGGTCGGAAAGAGCAAATCAAGAAGGTGGATATTCCGAGAGACATGATGATTATGAGGAAGAAATCGCGAGCTGATGCAGGGTCAATATTCATTCATGAGACAAGCTTCGGGGCGTACTGAAATCTGGTTCTTGATAGACAAGGTCATCGGTGCCTCGATACACGCGAACATTGCAGGAGCAACCAGATTTTCGCTTTCGTTCTTTCTGCAGAGCTTTCCACTCTGAATGGCCTCGATAAGGATGGCGAATAGCTTCATGGGCACTGGACTGTATTGTGGCAATGGGATCCTTGGCTTCGTTGGCTTCCAAGACCGTCGCATTCAAATTCCAGAGCACCATGAGAGAAAAGGAATGCAGAATCAAGGCGGGGGTGTGCCGCAGCACCGCAAGGGCTTTTGTCGCTTAGTATGCTGGCTGTCGCGACGTCAGAAGTGCGTGAATCGAGCCGAGCCGGTGAATGTTTGGCCGTATTTTGTGTCTGCGTCATGAAAAGGGCGTCAGGAGTGGTACACACCAAAAAGAGTCAATCCGGAATTCGATCGAGTTCGGAGCAAAGTCGAGGGTCAATGAAGTCAATAAAATTCAGCTGTGATAAAAACATGACCAAAACAATTCCGGTACGGGGAATCGAACCCCGAGCTGCCGCGACATCCTCTCCAACCTTGGAATGAAAGGCGGCAATGTTAGCCGTTACACCATACCGGATGCAAGGGATGGCGTCAGTCATGATCTCGATGGGACTGACTGACATTGATTTCTCGATCAAGGCATTGTTGTTCGCAGAGTCTGGCAGATGAGTGTCTAAAAAGGGGAAACTTGTAGTGAGGTGTCATGCCGCTAATATTCTTTGACACACAGCTTCGAATCATGACTGCAGCCCTCGTAGCTGCTCGCAGTCATGAGACGTCTCGATCCAAGAGCCCATTTTTTATCAATAATCCTCTCATCATGCTCAAATTAGGCTTGACGGAAATATCTGCTAGACTCGAATCACGGATCGATGAGTCACAGTCTAAGGTGTCCATTACTCCTGCGAAAGCAAAGTACCATGATATTTCTAAATTTCGGTCTTCACTTTGATCGCCACAAGGTCTTGAAAAGTGGGTTCAGAGGTACTTGAATCTCTTTTAGGCCGCAGATGGAATTTTTTGCTGTAGCGTAATTTCCCCGTTTCTCTCCCTATTAGACGTTGCAGGATAAGGATTGTTTGTGAGGGTATTAACGTCCACACTTGCCTTTTGGTTCTATCGGTGGTCAGGCTTAAATTGATGTGAAAAATGCTAGCGCTAGCGCTACAATTTTTTTTTTTTTTTTTTTTGATATCAGGTCGTTGCCATCTCAACTTGATTTTTTTCGATTCGAACAGGTCGAATCAAGGCACGTCGATTGGGATTGAGTATATGAACGTTAAGTCTATGATGGAATCAATGACAGGTAAAATGAAAGACGCAATGGTATCAACGACTCGGCCCATTTATTTTCGTTCGAAGATCCAACATTTGGGGTCGAAGTCGACTTATTTATCGGTTCACGAGCGAGACAGATTGTAAGCAATTCAAATGAACCGCAGGCGGCAACAACTCGACTCAACCTTTCAAGGCCACAGCTTTTCGCAAAGTTTACTGCGTTCCAAGGTTCCATATCAGACAATTCAAAATAGAGACTGGCGGGAAAACAGCACGGTCACGATTTTCCTAAATGGACTTATTCCCCGCTGGTCCAAGAGACACTTCGAGTTGAAGGCATCCGGGCTGAAGGTCCCACTGTGGTCGGCTAGTTACAGTCGGTGCACCAGTTTCAAGACAGGATCAATGATTTTCTGCCTGATCCTAGCATAGACGTCCTGGCCCTTGGAACGTGCTGGCTCGGGTCCTCGGGGCGGTACTGTTGTCTGATGTTTTCAATCCTATATCAGAAAGATCAGAGTCGATCCATCTTCCGAAAACATACAGCGATTCTCGAAATGTATTGCAAGTGGAGCGAGTGCGAGATACACAACCATCTTCTCGACATTTCAGCATCTGTTGTTATATCTGTGTCCGGGAACCATGGGTTCCGTGGTTCCGAAAGACCCTTGGTTCCTCGCTGATACCCATCTTGGGCGCTTCGTATTCAAGCTGTGCCTGAGTTCAAGCTGTGGTGTATTAAATTATTTGCTTGGGTTCGTGAGATTTGTGGGCGATTGGTGTCAAATATATCCGAGACTGACGACCGTAGCTGGGGTTATGTACTCGTAACGGTACTTGAAAGGCTTTTGGAACATCCCAGGTACCGTTTTCTTCGCCATTTACTGGTTCAGAACAACTGCGGCGTAAAGGTCCCGGATGTACATACTGACGAATTTGCCAGAGAATAGGCCCAGATTGAATGTTTTAGGCCATCGGGCGCGTCATTCTCCACTCTGCGTCACTTCCTGTCACTTTCCCGTTAGAAAGCCGTAAGAAACCGGCCATGTGCTCACCATGTGGCGATTTGATCCGGGACTAGGGTCCAGGGAGATCTAAAAACGTGGCGCAGCCCCTTGAAAAACGGAGATCTTGACATATCAAGATATCTCGAACAGCTTTGAATCTGAATGCTTGATTTGGTCCATGGGTTCTATTCAGAATCAAAATTTGAGCCTATATAGAACCGAAAGCTTTGCGCAGTCTCCTTAACTGCGACTACGAGCAATCCCTTCAGCCCTTCGGTATCCCAAATTCGACGAACTTGCTCAAGTCACCATGGGACCTTTGCCTGACACGACTTCTCCGTTGACGCCAAATGATACGAGCGACACTAATGGCGCACTGCAGCCCAAGACAATTCAGCTGATGATAGGCGGACTTTGTGAGCCTTGACCTTGTCCCATCTTCGAACCTCAACTGACCTGTAATATAGTAATCTTTCTAGTCCTCCTTGCAGCTCTGGGCTATTTGAGCTTTCGTGAAAAGATCATGGAACTCAAGTTCGCTGCCAGTATGCGAAGGAGCAGTCGCTCACCGGCTGTGAGCCCTATAGCTGCGCCTCCACGGGCTCAGAGACGCAGCGACCGCTGGGCTTATATGAATATGGAGGGCTGAACCATGATCAGAAAATTCTTCGCTTTCAAACCTGATTTCATTGTTATTTCTTCGTTCGTCCTGGATCTGTAGTATGACCTTTTGGACTTTTGAAATGCCATGTATTATCATCGTATCTTTGTAGCTGAAATTAGAAGAGATGACTGACTGAGCTATTACCTTGGTTGTACCTTGGAGCATGAATGATAGGGGCTAAATCACATCAACAGAGAGCGCCTAAACAAATTATTCTTGGATCATGTACGAAAGTCCTACGGTATCATTGACCCAGAGGAACCTTTAGTTAGAGTCGGTGAGACCGAACGAACTAGAGAGCTTCCCATAACATCTACAGCTTTGAGATAGCGCTGTTCCAAAGCTTCTGAACCGCCGCCCAGTATCTCTCGGGTTCTGCTAGATGATGTCGTACATGGCGACTATCTCCATATTCCTCTAAAGTAACATTCAACTTGGCGTCTCTCGCCATGTTGATATGGGTCTTGACATCTGCAACAGGCACCAATGCATCCGTCTGCGAAAAGACATATAGCCTAGGTGTATCTTTGGTTGTCCATGGCATTACATCGGGCTTCAAGAGCTGCGCGAGAACAGCTTCTATCGGATGCGGTCGGCGGAATAACACGAGGAAGAGTCGAACAGCAAAATAAACAAGAGCAACAAGAGAGGAAATGAGAAATAGAATGGGCCAACTGCGATGGTCGGGGGTCACAGCTGCCAAGACGTTCGAAAGAGTTCGAGTACCGCCCGGACTGGAATCTATGATAATTGCTGAAGGAAACTTTGGGGATGAGAAAGATTTCTCATGCAAGAGCGTCGACAACGTTGAGAGCTGCCAGGCTCCACCTATAGAGCGAATAATGAGAAAGAAAACGACCATGAAGTCGACACGCACCGTTTGAAAAAAAATGGACTAGTATACGATGTGCCTGGAATACGTGAGAACCCTCAAAACAGCCTTGGGCTTTCAGAAAATCGACAACAGGCTCCAAGTTGGCTTCCTAAAGCAAGGTTGTAACCCCAGGATGGAGAATGACCATTTAACTAACCCGTGCCCTTTGTGTACTGAGGAAAAATCCGAGCGTGTTGAGAATGACCAGAACTGTGGCTCCTGGAAACAGTTTTGCATAATTCTGCACGAATGTATGAAAACGAGACAGTTCCGCGCCCACTAGAATAAGGATTAGCCTTGGTAATGGACATACATCGTGGACTCGACTGACTCCCTCCAAATATAAGAATAAGGCTGCGATGCAAGTGAGAAACGGCCATAGGTCGTAGAATAAGCGATACCTCGGGTCGGACCTAGTGCCGCTGCTAAGAGCAGCCTCTGGCTGGAAAATATAGGCCTTTTTGCCTATGGCAACAAGTTTTGGGACGTCAGAGGTCATCATGTCGGTCAGCGACGCTGACGCGTACGGCGCCTTCGAGCAAGAAGAGAATGAAAATTTCGGATGGGATGGTAATCGTGCTGCATGCTTCAGGATTCCGAGGAGGTCTCAGCTAGAGTGCTGCAAGGACTATCAGGAACACCTCATGAAGGACGAACTTGGACAGTTGGACTGCATGAATCAGTTGATTGGTTGCCGATTTCAATGATGAGACAAAGGGCGAACAAGTAAATTGTAGTGGCCCAGGTCGTCACCATGACTTGCCATTTCTCGGATGGATGTCGAAACGGAAGGAAGCATTTGATTCGTCTTGACAAGTCAAGGCAGGCTCGTCTGAGGAAGGCGACAATTTTGCGGTAGCCATAGATGGGAAGAGGTATTGTCGTAGATTCAGGACTACAAGAGAGATGAAATAAAACAATGAATTGTGTTTGGACCCGAGAGCTCGTGGGCGGTCAAACGAATGAAGAACAAGTCCACGAAGGCCTTGATTAGTAATCCAACTCCAATACTTACAAAAGAAACAAGGTCACATTCTGTGAGCTCATCGTGACTGGTGACCTCGCCAGTGCTAACCGACATCTCAAAGTCTTTCGCCACGCTCTCCGAAGCTTCAGCCTTCTGGTATGGCTTTTCCAGTTTCCTGCAGCTCAATTATCTCGTATATCTGTGGGTCCATCTCTTCCACCATTCCACGCGTTGGTTGACTGACTTCTCGCAAACTGCAGCTCCCTTACTCCCTTGCTCAATTCCCGCCGGTGAATCCTTGTACGAGCTCGTGCAATGGCTCTTCATCGGCCAATTTAGAGCTCTAGACTCGCCGATTGAAAATGGTCATTTAGCAAACGTACGCCAGGTAAGCATGCCTCGCGCTCTTTTCTCGAACTTTCCGAGGCACGAAATTCTGACGCTGACTGTTCGTCTTCAAGCCTCGGCGTATTCTGCAATGCCACTTACTGGTTCCTCGGCATTGGAAAAGGAGGAAACATGAAACTGAGACGACAGGCTGAGGTGACTCGGAGCTCGCACCTGCTCTTAATGATCAGGAATAAATTGATCAAACTCAGGCTCCATCGCAGTAACTCGACCGTTTCCTCAGAAACTGAATGCAAGATCGATTCCAGTGGTCGCTTTCGGTAAGCGCCATCCATGGGATTTTCATGTCGTTTTGACGCGTCGCAACAGGCCGAGTCGGGCTCCCATTGCACTTGGATCGACTTCAAGACCACCATATCATTCATGATACGCGTCTGGC